CCCCAAAACCCCAAAACCCCAAAACCCCAAAACCCCTATTTAATAAAATAGATAAAAATTTATCATAATTATAATGAGGAACAGCCTTTTTATTACTATTACTCTGACTGCACTTATACTTTTCTCAAGTGTGAAGACTACCGAAGCTAGCTTTCTCAAAGGGATCCTAAAGCAGGACATGACTGCAAACTTGTTGGATCGTTTCATGGACGGAATGAAGATTAATGAGCTTGCTTCTAATACTACTGAATGTGTCCACTATTCTGAGTTGGCTTACTCCAATTTGAAATCATCACTCACAAACTTTGCGACTATAGGCTGGGACGTCGAAAGACATATGGACTTCCTCTTATCCCTTGGAAATCTTGCTCCAATGATCAAGACCTGTTACAATACCACAAAGAATGGCACTGTCGAATTCTTTGAGTATATTAATGACATTCATAATTTCACAGAGTTCACTGATCAACTTTTAATAGGAGTAATAAGGCGCTCCTGGGATTGGTACAAGATTACTAGCTCTCTGATATTTGCCATGGACGTTAACAGAATTGATGAAATTGCCTATCAACTTGGAGTTGCCACAAGACTACTTATTGATGAGGCCCCAACATTGAAAAAATTGGATACTTTAAGAAATAGTCAATCTTCAAGCCCTTTCAGTCTGAAGCTTCCAGACTTGAGACCCTATGAGAGATTCCTTTCAGGATTCATTAACGGCTCCCATATCTTCAACTCAACCAATATTACCCACTGTGTCAATGAGACAAAGTTCATGGCTGATGCATTTGAACATGCTAATTTTGGAATCTCAAGCCAAACCACCGATGGATATGAACACGCCTTATTCGATATTGCTGATGTGCTTGAGCACCTAGCTCCCCACACTGAAGCATGCTATGGAGGTCTCATCGACATCATGGATATTTTGAATAGATATAACCAGACCATCTTCTCCCCAACTCAATTGGCAATCACTGCGTTTAGGAATAGCCCCGCTCTTTATGCTGATGCTGTGTCTGCTTATGATAACTATCACAGCTCCAATTACACTGCTATGGGATGGAGGATCGGGGATTTCCTCTTTAATGTTTTTGCTAATAACTAGCTTTCATTACCAATATGTGTTGTCTCCAATTAATGTCATTTCTTTTGTATACCTATGAACAATTAATTTACCAGATTTACTAATATTAGATTCCATACCGGATAAACTCCATGGGGTTTTGGGGTTTTGGGGTTTTGGGGTTTTGGGGTTTTGGGGTTTTGGGG